GCTACTGATGTACTTGAAGAAGGCCTTCTTGAGATCCCTAGACAGATTTAATTTCAAAACTCCCTTCTTCCAGTTGAGCTTTTCCTTGCTCATCCATGCAGGTCTCCTGCCTCCTTTGCTTGATTTCTTCCTCATAGGGATGCACCAATCTTGAGCATGGAGGAAGTGGTGCTTGAATAGCAACCAGCTCTCTTGGAACCTCCTATCTTCTAGAGCCCTATCCCATGGGAGGCCAAAGTTAGCTCTCGAAGTCCAGGGTTGCAATCCTACTTATTGTCCGGCTTCTTCCACGCAGGATCCTGAACTCCCAACATGTCATGGTCACTGCAGCTGAGGCTGCCCCCAGCCTTCACATCCACAAACAGTCCTTCTTTCTTTGTTAGTAAAAAGTCCAGCAGTGCACCTCTATTCATTGGTTCTTGCACCACCTGTGTCATAAAGTTATCATCAATGCTCTGCAGGAACCTCCTGGACTGTGTTGCTTTTCCAGCAAATATCAAGGTAGTTGAAGTCCCCCACAAGAACCAGAGCCTGTGATTGTGAGGCTGATTTTGGCTGTCTGTAGAAAGCTTTGTCTACTTCCTCTTCCTGATTATTTAGGCCAAGCCTCAATATGCCTGCTTTGGCACGCAACACAAGATGTGATATGAATCAACATTACAGCCGAATTTGAAGAAGGGTTTGGAAACTGACCTCTAGAGAGCTACCCAACCTCACAAGAACCCCTGTTACAGATTATAAAAGCACCTTGCTTCAGCACCTGGTGTAGCCAGATGCCTTTTTTATAGGCATTAAGCAGTCATTTTAGCATGCTAAGTAATCACCTTCAATCCTCAGATTCAATCTACCTCAGCTCCTCATCAGGAAAATAAAAATAATCACACAACCATATAACCTTTAAACGTTGCAAGAAGACCTGCATTAGAGATTGTGAGGCACCGGGGTACGATGTAAACCAGGCAGAAACATGTCAAAGAAAGTTGTTTCCCCCTGCCGCCCCCTTGCCATGTATCCTTACTGTTGTGACACATTCTTATCAACGGACACACTTAGGCATACCCGTAGTTCATTACCTGACAGTACTTAAAAGATACAAGATTCGGCATAGCTACAGAACATGGAAGTTATTGTTAAAAATGGGTATTGACCCTTGCAGTATGTGCACTGAAAGATTAAGCAACATATTTCAAATTTATAAGACAGTAAGAAGAAAATCAAAACCCAAATAATTTGACAGAACAGAGAAAAGGTATACATGTTAATCCATAATGTCGAAGCAAGTCATTGTGTTGCATTTCTCATCTGAGTAAATAACATTATGCTCTCTATTCTCCCACATCATTAATTCATTTTGTCAAACAGAAGAAATTCTCTGCTGTTTAGGAAAGGTCCATGTGTATTACTCAAAAGATTCATTGGACTATATCTTTTTACCATGTTCTAAGATGGATATTCAATTTGATATCCTAGAGACTGATGACATATGGCTGTCTTTGAAACACCTAGTAAAGAATTAACCCCTGAAATTTAAACAAAGTTAAAAATCAGAAAGAACATCACTTCAAGTTTCACCCTACACAACTATCTCTAAAATGATTCAAAAATACTTCATAAATTAAACTATTGTTGTAGTATTTTCTCATACTCTTCACATTTCTGTAGATCACACTTCAGATAACACACCAGAATCCCCTAATACTACAACAGACCGTAAGAATTCCTTCTGGAAAAGGAGGAAAACAATTGGGCATGTACAAAAACCAGAAAAGGAGTACTTCCATTGGCACCTTGACTCACAACCATCCTTGTTCTGCATTATTTTCATATGGCAAACAGTAAATTCACAACAAAGAAATATCAAGACATATTATCACTGAACTATGTCATGAGACTGCAAAAAAAACTAGAAATTTTTGTTCTCAAGTTAATTCCTAGAGAAAGCACCACTGGCTCAAGTATCTTCTAGCAAAGTAAGTCTCACCTTTGGCCCATGAGATGATTTCTTCTTCACTTCAGAAAAAGACAGGCAGTTACTGGGAAGGTTGGGGAGATGAAGGCTCTGTCCTGAAGAGAACGATGTGCCATCTGACATTACCATGATCTGTTATAAGAGGGAAAGCATGTGAGTCAAAGATTACCAAGAGAGACTGTCTCACCTGCCAAAGAACTAGCAAATCACAGTGGTAGAATAAAACTTCTCCAACAAACAGTACCCATGTTTCTTCTCAACAGGGAATGGGTTAATGAAACCACACTGCCATCCTCTATTTTACAAGAGAATCACATCTTTCCATTTCCATGCACAGACAACACAAGTCCCTCAGAAATTGGCATAACTTGTTCTATTATGGCTGTTTATACGCCATGGCACCTGAGACCTTAGCACTCTTTCTCTTGTTCTGAGCAATGTCTAGTAGAGAGCTCATCCCACCTGCAGTAAAAGGTTCTGCAGGCTGCTGACATCCCATAAACGTGTATATGCAGCAGTCTTTGCTTTCAACTAAATTGCTTTCAACTAAACTGAAGGAAGACTGTAATGGGTATACATGGCAAGGTTAGGGTGTCTGGGGTGGCCTCTGTGAGGAGAGGCCAGGGGCTCAGCCATGCTGGACACAGCTGGATCCAGTCAGCACCAACAGACCCACCACAGGACACAACTAAGCCCCTCAGGCAAGATGGTGGCAACTCATGGAAAACAGGTTTATGAAAGGGCAAAACACTTGCACAGGCAGAGGAGGTGGAAAAAAATCGTGAGAAATTGTAGCGTGAACACAAAGGTCAAAGAAGGAGGGCAAAACGTGCTCCAGGCGCTGGAAAAGGTATTTCCCTGCAGACCATGGAGAGCCGTTACAGGAGCAGTTGCTGAAGTACTGCAGCCCACAGAAAGGTCCCATGCTGGAGCAGGGGGAAAGCGTGAGGAAGGAGGAGAGGCAGAGAGGAGCTGTTACGGACTGACTGCACATTCCCCATCCCCTGAGCCACTCAGGGAGGTGGAGGAGACAGACAAGTCCTGAACAAAGGACTGAAGTTGAGCATGGTAAGGTGGTGTCTGGGGGTGGTATTGCCTTTTTTCGTTTTGTTTTGTTTCTCATTACCCAAATCTATTTTAATTTGAAACAAATTGAATTATTCTTCCATGAGTTGAGTCTGTTCTGCCCATGACATTAACTGGTAAGCAATCTCCCAGTATATTTTGACCCGTGGGCTTTCTCATCCTGTCTTCTCCCCCGGCTCTGTTGAGAAGGCAGAGTGAGTGACCAAGCATCTGGGTGTGAGTTCAGCCCTTAGCCAAGGTTAACCCACCACAAAGACCCATTGTAAAAATAGCCCGAGGTTTTAATGTGAAAGCAGTACAGCTCTAACTTCAACCTCTAACTTCTAGCTTCTGCTCTACCTGGAGCATAGTAAACAATAGCTGGTAAGCACGCAGCACTTCTGCTATGACACAGATCTAGCTCCCTTTCTTAAAGTACAAACAGATCATTTCCAGAGACTACAGATAAATCAGCTGTCACAGAGCAGTTACTGGACATGTAAAGATTATGCCTTCCATCCGAAAGAAACTCAGCTAGCTCCAGTCTTCTGCTCCAGTGCTGCTGTACCTGGATTTTACTGCTTCCTAGAACAGCTATCCATTTATCTATTGTTTCAAAACCCTAAATGCCAGAGACACCTTACCTGCTGTCTGATGAACCCCACAAAGCTGATAAGAAGTTGCAGAGCTCTGTATCTGTAAGGAAACATCTCTCTCTTTCCACAGGTTCCCATGCACGAAATCACACTTGGTTTTGTGGATGCCCTGTGGTCACCCTTGCCTCTTCGCACGACCAAAACATCCTCTGATGCTAGAGACGGGGAGTGACTGACCCATCACATGCCTCACACACCTTACGTTAAAGGAGGAATGAGAAGTGCAAAATGGGGACATCTAGGACATAGATCTGTACACTCCATACTTTACCTCTCCAAATCAAGATGATATTTACTGCCTACAGCTTCTTCAAGATAGGATTTCAATTTAAAAAAAAATAAATTATTTAAACATTGGTCCAAATGAACCTTATTGCAGAAAACTTTGTTCAAAAGATTGTTGGTAGCCTGGAGAACGTTAAGGGACATGTCTAGGCAAAAAAAAAAAGACTTCTATCAGCTTGTAAATTGAGCATTACCTTTCAATACTGCTGCTAGAGTCCAAGTTGGAGGAAGAAGGCAATAAATTTGTTCTCCCTCCTTGTTCATGTGTTTAAAAAAAAAAACCCTTAAAATTTATTTGTGTATTCACACATTTTGTGAAGTAAGATTCCACACAGGGCATCTTCTCCCCTATTCCTCACTTCTGTTTCTCAAACACCTAAACCAGAACCTGCCAGGAGACAGGACTCTCAAAAATCAGCTAGGTAAAAGCAATGGCGTCCTTCTTGTAAGCATGGTAATGTTAATAGCAATTACTGTGAATCACAGTAAGCAAATTCCTTTAGGCTGACAAAAAATTTTTTAACCTCCGCTTGTCAAGGGTTTTGGTTGAATTCAGCCCAGCTGAATGCAAAAGATGGCACAAGCTAACAAATAATGATCAGCAACAAAGACAAGGAAAAGCTGTAGCCACATATGCCTACCATAAGCCTGTACAACAGGTAGAGAAAATGCATGTCTCTTATCACTACTTCCTCTCACAAAGTCAAACGGGTGGTTAAATAAGATTGTTCTCCTTTAAACTAAATTCAATGCAATGTTTTAAGCCCACAAACTTCATAGAAAATACCAATTGCATTAAAATCAAATCATCTTTCATAAAAAGTACACATAAGGTTGCCCATTAATTAGAGAGTTTAAACAGGTATTTTATTGACACAAAGTAGTTTTGTTCATACGCTCATATGACAAAAAGATGCATATCCACATGGAAGAGAAATATAGTCAGGAGGATAAGGGTTTGCCCTACCTTGAAATTAAAAGTGAAGAAACAAAAATTCTGCCAAAGATTCTTTCTCCTAGGGTTGGAAGCTGCCGTTTTCTCCCTGAGGCATAAAAGTCTGAACTCACTAAAATAAACTGAGGTTCAACCACTGCATAAATATTCTTTTTAAAATTCAGAAACATTCCAGTTTAGAAATATTTATATATTCATCATTATACACAGACATTCTTAGAAAGCTGACATTTTAAAAAAGTGTATGGACTTCTGAGATTTCTCAGTTTCCGAGCAAGTATTTGGACCATTAACAGTCTCAGTATTACAGAGCGTGTTCAGAGGATGACTGACTACAGGAAGGTCTACAGAGCTGGGATGAACAGCATTAGTACCATGTGAGGTCTGGCAGATTTCACAAATCTAGATCCACGCATAGAGAAAACAAACTGCATGGAGTTTTTAGAAGATTGTGTTTTCTAAACTGTGAACCCTAAAAATTTCAATTTATTGAATCCTGCAGCCTGTTATTTCACTATAAACCCTATGAAAAATGGCAATTGTAGATTCAAAATTTTAATGTGATTAATAATCTATGCGTAAGACAGAACTTCAGTTCAGACTACAGACTTTACCATCTGTAAAGATGACAAAAGACCAATAAAATCTCTTGTAAAATTAACTTTTTGGCCCCTATGATAAAAACCACACCTCTGTCTTCCAAACTGATCTTTGTCAGAAAAAGGATATGGTCCTCATTAAAGCCCCCTATATCAGAGAAAAAAAAAAATAAAATCACTTGTGTTCTCCTCCCTCTCAAAGAATAAAGTTAATATTAACATTGAGTAACTCTTCAGGAACTTTTCCAAAATGTTTGTTTTCTTTGCCAAGATTATCTATGTAAAAAGCCCCTACATAACACTTCTTGGAATTGAGATGCAGTTCCCTTTTGGCTAAGTTTAGGAAAAAGACAGCTATACATTCATTTTTAAATTTACTGAAGGTGTACTGTGATTCTGTGCGAGTTCAGCTGACAGAATTATAGCAACTTCTGCACTGGGTAACCACCCTTTGTCCTCCCATTAGTCAAACACAGAGGCACACCACCCAGAAGATGTACTTCAACCAGCATTCAGAGCAAGTCTCTACTTTTACATTGCGACTGTCACACTGGCACCATATACTGCTTATGTATGTGTGCGCACATAAATGTACATGGCTATACAAAGCCAAGGATACGCAGAGAAGAAAAGAAGCAAATGGTGAAAATGAGCATACCACGGCAAGGCACTAATTCTGCAGCAAGAACGCAACCTCTTCGAAAGCATAGCAAGAGCTCTCCAGTACAGCCATACTATATATACTTTTTTTTATTCCTTTCCTCCTTTCTGCACTGTAAGTTTCCTGCTACCTTACAGCTCCAAAGAAGAGTACACCCCATTAGGCAGAGGACTGCCACAGCCCATGCTTAAGCTGGGCACTCAAGACCACGGGCAACTGGTACTTGTCTGCTCCCACAATGAATCACTTCAGTGACAAAAACCAGGAACATTATTAATTCCTATCCTCAGCCTCTTCTACAAGTCAACAGCTAGTGGGATCAGACAAGCTGGTGGAATAAGACACCAGTGCTGGTGTTAATGAAGCAAGGTGAGACCACAGCTAGGCTTTAAACAAGTCGGTTTAAACAGTCATGTAATCACACTCTGAATTCACCAGTATGTAAAGCATTGCTGTTCAAGCAACTATAGTTTGGCCATATTTAATCAAAGCAGAGGTCTGGCTAATCTCACAGCCTGTCTTTGATGCGGTCAACAGTGACAGTAATAAGCCATGTAAAAGTAGGGAGTTAGACATGCTTCTTCACAAATGTTAAAGGGTTTTAAAAAGCAGTAGGGTCGACTGGAGTACCTGGTAACAGATAAGCACTAGAAACATGGCCAAGAGAAAACAGTTAGTTTCAGTTTAATACCAGGGTACAAATCATATGGGAATGACAGATTAGGTTGTACTAAGAAAGGTGTCATGGGAGGCAATAAGAAACATGTCAATGGAGGGCGCTACACTGGTGCAGCCCCACCTCAAGTACTGTGTGCAGTTTTGGACGCCTCAGTATAAGAAGCACATCAGACTATAGAGTGTGTCCAGAGGAGGGTGACTAAGACGGTGCAAGGCTCTTGGGCAAGACTTAC